AAMRTRACAWRASAWWACATAGAATATGTTAGTTGAATATCAAATCATCTTGACTTTTACCATGCAAACAGTGCTGAATCGAGGCTCAACGTGTTTTAGTCTAAGGTATATGAATGAATTTTGATTAGGAACAGAAAGAAAATTGAAAACTGAACCCTACAAATAATGAAGAGAAGAAACTGAGTCAAGCCATTCGTGACTCCTTCGTTTGGGAACCGAACAACAGCGGTGGTGGGAATAATCTCACCACTCTCACTCCTCAAATGACATCAATCAAACGTTAGCTGTGCCCTCAAGATCGCACGAAAAAGTTTCGAGGCATAAATGTTAAGAATATGATCAGCATGTAATATTATCATTTCAGTTAACGATCTGGAGTACTATAGAGTACCTGGTGTCCTTCAGAGGTTTGCTATCTGTTACTTTGTGATTGCTGTCATGCAATTATACCTTCCTCCGCGAGAAGATCTGCCAAAAGTAAGCCAACTTTGACATGTTTAGATACTTATGAGTATTTTTGCTTGCAAATTGTTGCCAGAAAGTTTGAAGATTGCATATCACATTGTCCTTTAATGMAGTAATATTTCTCTTTTTCTAAACTAATTTTCCCGTTTCGTTATTGATGTCTGTAGCGATGGTGGGATCCAATACGTGACGTRGTAGCTATATGGAAGCAGTGGCTAGTCATGGCTTTTGTTCTCGTCGTATTCCTTCTGGTTACGTATGGAGTTAAAGTCGGCCATTGCCCAACGTAAGTAATGTCTTTGTTCACTGACTCGTCTCCAGTCGTTCGCTCCTCTCTCTCGCGCGATAGGCATCACGGAAATGAGAAAAGAAGAGAAGCGATTATTATTATAAACAAWGTCTCTCTATCTTGTTTTTGCCCTTCCCATGAATATTTGCCTGACAAACTAAAAGTCGCGAGAGACGGCTGATGTTATTGCTTGTCAATGATGATAGTGGCCATTATARTGGTAATAAGGATAATGATGGTAATAATGAAATAATACTTTTTTTTGAGAAAATAATAATAGAATTTATTAACAAATTTAAAGAAAAGTCATAAGTTCGCAATAATGTATAAAACATATGATATCGTGATAATGCTATTAACGTTGTAGTAGCCAGGCGTTCCTAGCCAATCCCGGAGAGCTGCCTGTCCAGGCAGGGTATTATCGATCATGCGGATAATAATAGTCTAGTGATAATAATAAATGGTATCGATTAGATGACATGGTTCTTGAAGAAGGAAAGGTA